CAGACGTTTCCAAGTTTGAACGCACTTGATGGTGAATATCATCCATCCTGTCAGATAACACTTTCACGAACTCTGACACATTTTCAGGCAACTCTTCGTAAGGTGGGCGTCCTGTTATCAGATCCACTGGCAACCGAAGTTCCCGACCAAACATCACCTTTGCTGGAGTGTATCCAGGGGTTTCATGCTCTGCTGTTCTATAGACCATCAACAGTGGATGGACTAAGACATCCCAGTCATCTTGGCAGCTATTACAAAACTTTTCCAATTCCTGTTCCAGTGTCCAATTGTACTTTTCTACCATTAAATCAGACTGTGGGTGAAGTGACATTGTCCTGGTCTTTCATATACCAAACAACTTGCAGCATTCATGGAACACAGCTGATTCAAAGTTACAGCCTTGATCTGAAAGCAGTTTGTATGGCATACCAAACCTGAAGAAGAAATCACTAATAGCCGAAGCTACAGTTGTAGGTTCCTGATTTGGTATTGCATATGCCTCTGGCCACTTTGTGAAGTAATCCATTACCACACAAATGTACTTGTTTCTAACACGAGGCAAAGGACCAGCAATGCCAACAGCTAGTCTTTCCATTGGTGCGTCAACTTGATATAACTTCATTGGAACATGTCCCTTATGCTTGGATCCCCTTTTAGCACAACATGTACTGCAAGTCCTGCACCATTCTTTCACATCTTGCCTCATACCTATCCAGTAAAATCTCTGTCGTAAGTGACTCAATGTCTTTTTTAACTCCGAGATGTCCTCCTGTTAAACTATCATGGGATTGACGCAACACAACTTTCCATACCTTTCTCGGTATAACTGTTTGCCAGGTCGTCACTTTCCCATCTCCGGACAAGAATACCATCTTCAAGCTTCAACTGGTCCCATTGTGCCCAATAGTTCTTTGTCACAGGGCTTAAGCTAGACACCTTCTCCCAAGCAGGGTGCAAAACACTTGCCTTTAGAATATCAATTATTGGCTTCAAATCTTGGTCTTTCTCCTGCTCTGCTTTAATATTTATACCTGGTTCCACTTCATCATCATCAAGTCCTTCAGTCACTTTGACTTCAGCTTGATGACACCTGGTTAGTCCAACCTCTCTTTTAACACTTACCGGAATTTGGCCTATGTTGTTCCCAAACTTCATTTTATCGAAGTTGACTACACACTTCCTCGGTAGAAAGTTGTCCAACCCTAATATGCATTGGTCTTCAATGTCAGCCAAGTATACTTTCTGTCTGTCCTTCATGCCCATGAGCTCAATAGTTACCCACACTGGTCCCCACAACCTTCCATAATATCCTGTCACACCACAGTGTTTCTGTAATTCTTCTGGTACTCCTTTGTGATCCAGCACCTTGATGCTCACATGGGTTTGCTGAGATGCAGAATCTATGACAAAGTTGCACCTTTGGTCATTCAGCTTTCCTGTCACGTAGATACTATGTGTGCTTGCCATTTTACACTTAGCTGTTGGGACTTTCACGATGGGGGTTGGTGGGCGTCCCTCAACACCAACCACTACTGGTTTCCCCAAGGCTGACTTATTGGTAGTATTCTTCTTACACTGGCTCCTCATATGTCCTTGCTCTCCACAGTTCCAACAACCTTTCTGGGTAGCAGCCTTTCCTGCCGTGGCATCTTCTTTGTGTTGAAGTTGCCGGCATTGAGCTCTCTTGTGCCCTGGTTTGCTACAGTGCCAGCAAAGTCCCTCAAACTTCCTTGAAAGCTACCCTTTTCTGGCCTTGAATCCTGATGACTGTACCAACCTTGGTACCTCTGTGCTGGACTTAATGTAGGATTCGAATTCAATAGCTCTGGCCATTGCATCTTGTATAGTAGAGGGGTGTACTTGCTTCACTTGTATCTTCAGTTGTGGACTGTCCAAGGCATCTACAAACTGATCCCTCAGCAACAACTTGAGGACATCGGGTGGTGCAGTTGGGTAGGCCTTGTGTGCCATACTTTCCAAATCCTGTGCCAGCTCTTGCAGACTCTCCCCTTTAGCACGGACTCTCGTCCTAAACCTAGCCCTGTAGACTTTGGATTGATTTTGGGTTCTATACCCGAGTTCTAGAGCAGCTACCAGTGCTCTATAGTTGTGCCTGTCATCTGCTGACAACTGTCCAAGTATTTCCAGTGGTTGTCGCTTCAGGC